GAGATTCTGTTTAATCTAATTGGTGCACAGCATTCACCTAAGCTTTGTAGCTAGTCACCAAAATAGGTCAGTTATTCTTTGAATTTTAAAGGGTATTTTTTGTTGGGAATGTGAAACAATTGGTTGTGATTGTTACCCTTTTTACCAAGGTGATTTTCAGTTGGTTAAACGTGAGTTTATATATAATAGTCATTTTGGTTAATAAGTTATGTCAGAGTCTGTAGTTTGAATAGGAAGTTATCAGTTGAAATTTGTGTGTAACACAGAAATTTCATTTTGCTATTTGGACAGTGATTAGCACAACCTGGATTGTCCAAGCTTTAAATTTTTGTCATCTCACTAGGACAAAACTAAAGCAACAGAAAATTTGTAAAAATTTCAACCTTCCAAATATTGCTATTTCACACTTTTTCTCCTCAGAAAATTTGTAAAAATTTCAACCTTCCAAATATTGCTATTTCACACTTTTTCTCCTTAGGCCACACCAATTTAATTTGTTGGTTCTCGGAATCGCCGCTTCAAAAAATCGCAAAATCAAAAAAAAAAAAATTCATTCTTGTTACTCTCATCTCATCTGCCGATTTTTTTGGGCCCGAACGTCCACCCGGTACGTTCTTATTTTGCACGGTACGTTTATTAATTTTTTGGAAATCAGTAATTTTTTTCGACTACGCGTCGGCAAATCTTCGACGTGAAGACGTTTATAAACGCGTATTGTAGCGAGAAACTTGTCATTTTCGGGCCGGTTTTCGCGATCGCCGCGTGCATAAATTTGTCTGAATGTTCCATTGTCATGGGTGGTGCTCATCAAAATACGAACTCCTCAAAGCTCTAAATTAGAACAAATTCTAACAAACTAAGCAAGTCATTTAATATTTACGATTTTTAGCTACCATATTGTATTTGTCGATGTCGATTTACCGCAATAAAATCAAGAAATCGGGTAAAATATTACACAGTCTTCCCCGTAAAAAATGAGATCTTCCGTTGACCCCAAATGACCTTCTTCCGCAGCGACGCCATGTTGGATATTTCTCGGCCTTTTCTACCACAGTTTTGGCTCATTTTTACGACAAAATCCAGGGTAATATCGCCCAGAAAATATCTGAAGCCCTATCTGGTTGCTAGACAAGCATTATTTTCTAATTTTAGTGGATTTTTCCCAAAAGAAAAGTTGTCGTAATCGACGCCAAGTTAACGACATGCTGGGATGGTTCGCTGGGATTTTTAGGGGCCATTTTTGAGTAATCGGCACTTCGAAATTTTGTTTACTTTTATGATACGAACGCTAGAAAAAAAAAAAACGCTGCCACATCATGCCCATATTCTTTATTACCCGGTACCCGTTGGATTTTCTTGGCCAACATTTGGCAACGTAC